AAGCACCTGGATGAATACATGAATAGGAAGGAATAGAGGGATATGGATCCTGTAAGTGAAGACAGTCTTCGTCTGGAAGAGCAAAATGTTTCAGCATAAGCTTGGAGGGCTGAAGGGCCTGTGACAGCTGTATTGTTCTTTGTTCTAAGGTTTTGGATGGAGGAACTGGGCATTTTGCAGTTAGATTAACAGATGACACAAAGATAAGTAATAAGGTGGTTAAGGAGATCAAAATCTAAGGCACAAAAAGCAGTGAAAACTAATGGTAGGCCAGAGGTTGGGAATTGCTTTTAGGAACCGGCAGAGGACGTAAAAGCTAATAATGAAAGGAGAAAATTGATTACGAAGGTAAAATGGCAAGAAACACAAAACAGCAAGAACTTCTACTTTTTTCTAATCAACTTGTTCAGAAAGGTTATTACATACCTCTGGAGCAGGTGGGACTTGAACCCAGGCCTCCTGGTCCAGAGGTAGGGAAACAAGAACTGCACCATGTGAGGGCCCCGAAGCTATGTTGTACGTAATGTTTTAATTCACCACATGGTATTTGTGAATAAAATAATCATCCTATGGGCATTAATAAAGAAAGGGAGTAGCTAAAGTGAGTGTGGGACCTTGGAGGATGAGACTGGGGAATTGATAATGGGGAACAGGGAAACACCAGATAATTTAAATCAATATTTTGCAATAGTCTTCATGGTCAATGACACTATAGACTTCCCAAAAATATCAGTTTTGCAAGATGCAAATGGAAGGACAGATCTTGAAACTGTCTCTATCATGAGGAACAAAGTAGTTGACAAACTAAAGGGACTGAAGGCAGTCAAGTCACCAAGACCTGAGGGCCTGCATCTGAAGGTTTTTAAAGGAAGTAGCTGCAAAGATGTAGGAGGCATTGATCAAAATATTCTAGAACTCACTGGGTTTTTTGGGGGTGGGGTTGGAATCTGAAGAGTGAGAGGATGGGAGAGAGACGTGGGTAAATATTTGAAAATGAAACCAGGCAGGTGGAAAGCATCATTAATAGAAAGTCGTTTTGGAGGTAGTGACTGAAATGCAGTTAGAAAACAGGACTAGGAGTAGGCCATTAAGCCCTTCGAACATGCTCTGCCATACATAACAATCACGACCAATTATCAAACTCAACAGCCTGTTCCTCCTTTTCTATCAATTCCCTTTGCTGTCTTTAGCCCCAACTGGTATACCTAGCTCCTTCCTGAAATAGGAAGGATATTATTAAACTGGAGAGGGCTCAGAAAAAAATTACCAGGATGTAGCAAGGAATGGAGGATTTGAAAGAAAAAGCCTGGGACCTTTTTCCACTGGAGTGGAGGTGGTTGAAGGTTATAACCTTAAAGGGGTTTATAATATCATGAGCAGCATGGATAATGTGAATAGCAGGTGTCTTTTTCCTAAGGTGGGGGATTTCAAGACTAGTGGGCATATTTTTAAGGTGCAGAGAAAGATTTTAAAAGGACATGAGGGGTAAATATGTTCATGTGTGGAACGAACTTCCCAGGGAAGTAGTGGATGCAGGTACATGAATAAGAAATGCTTGGAGGGATATGGGCCAAGTGCAGACAGGTGGAGCTAGTTTAGTTTAGGAACACGATCGACATAGATCGGTTGGACTGAAGGATCTGTTTCCATGCTGTAGGACTATAAATCATGCAATGTCTTGCCTCATCTGTTTTCTTCCGTAGCAAATTCCACAGGCTGATCACTTTCTGGATGAAGATATTTCTCATCATCTCAGTCCTACGCAGTCAACCTAATATCCTCAGACTGGACCCCTGGTTCCCAGTCATTGGGAACAACATTCCTGCATTTACGCTGTCTAGTCATGTTAGAACTTTACAGGTTTCTGCGAGATTCCCCCTCACTCTTCTAAATCCCAGCAAATATAATCTCATTGAAACAGAGGATTCTTCAGGGGCTTGATAGAGTAAATACTGAGAGGATGTTTCCCCTCAGGGGACAGTCTAGGTCCAGATGGAATTATCTCAGAATAGCGGGGTGCTAATTGAAGACTGAGATCAGGAATTTCTTCTCTCAGAGGGTTGAGTGTCTTTGGACCTCCTTGCCACAGAGAGCTTGGCGGGGGTGGGGATGGTGGTGGTGGTGGTGGTGTGTGGATGCAGAGTCCTTGTGTACATTTATGGTTGAAATAAACAGATTGTTAATCGGAAGGGGAATCAAGGGTTACGGGGAAAATGCAGGAAAGTGGACATGAGGAGAGTTGGATCGGTCACAATCCGACCTACTGGCGGAACAGGGTTGAGGGGCTGAACAGCCTACTCATCTTCCTAGTCAAGATATTAAGGTCTTATTAACTGTTCAACCTCCCTTCACCCGTCAATCCTGCCATTCAAGGAATCAGTCTGGGTAACCTTTATTGTTCTCCCTCT